ACACTAGTAGAAAGCAGTCTGGTGGATTCACAAAAATGGCTGACGGCGCTCACTCTTGGGTGCCCTCCTCAGTGACCTAGCTCTCAGATCACATGGTCTCACACAGATACGGGGCAGAGGCCATTGCCCGGTGCTTCTCCTACTCACAATACAGCTAGTGGTTTTTCCTCATGCATGTATGGTATGGAAATCCCCAATTCACATCGAGTCCATCACTGGTTCTAAGGACCCGGATGCTCTATTGTAGCAGCATTTCATACCGGGCAGATGGTTCAAGTGATCAATGTCTCAGGGTACGCCAACACAGAGCCCTGGGGATAGTTACACAACCAGCTAGTTTACAGACTTGCTACATCATAAATATATGATACACAGTCATATAAAAATATGCTTGCGTAAACAACGAGTTACAAATGACAGACCAATCTAGGGAGATTTTAGAAAATGTAGCAAACTGGAAGGAAAGGCGGCTGTGCACTGAGAGGCATCTGAGAGACGGAAGGGGGGGGGGGAGACTGGACGGAGCAGCTGGAGCAGGGGAGTTTCTGTGTGACTGTCCCTGGAGAGGCACACAAACATGGCAATCCAAAGTGGAAATGCTGAGAGAGGACAAAGAGGAGATGGGATGGTGGGTACCCAGGAGACAGACAATGTGACATGCAAGGCCACAGGCAGCCAGGTCACACTGAGATGCATGCCACCGCCCTGCCTGTGCAGAGCTAGCTCACTCCCTGGTCACAGGGAAGGGGACCATTGAGGAGCATGGTGGCACTGTCATGGAAAGCCCCAAACATCACAATACAGATCTGCTCAGTCTTTGTGTTTTTATTTTAAATGACCCTGTCATCTTTCTAAGCCATAAAAGAATAAGACAGGAAGGGCTTGAGAGGTGGCTCAGTAGTTAAGAATACTGGCAGCTCTTCCAGAGGACCTGGGTTCGATTCTCAGCACCTACGTGGCAGCTCACAACTGTCTGTAAACTCCAGGGAATCTGATACCCTTGTACAGACATACCTGCAGGCAGAACACCAATGCATATATAATAAAGAAATCATTAAAAAAAAAGAAAAAGACAGGAGCAGTGATGGTGAAAAGATACCTTCCCCCACCACAGAGAGCAGTGACGTCATTTTAATATTTGCTTCACTTGTACAGCACGTAATGCTCTCAGAAAATTATGACATGAAGGAGGTTCATGGCTCACCCAAGGTCACTCAGACAGAAGCATGATGGGATCCCAGAGTCTGTCTCCCAGGCCCAAGGCCTCTGCTCTCCTGTCTTTCTGATTGCTGCTTCTCCCTCTAGCTTCCCCTCGGCCCCAGCAGGGCTTCAGCAATGTAGTTCCACTTGACAGCTGGAGACCTGCTATTCCCTGCCTACCTTGGCCTGTCTGACTCTCAGGCTGGAAACCCCAGTGTCAGCAAGATGGAGATCTGTTCCACTTCTGAGTGTATCTTCCGCAACACGGTCTACAGCCAGTCCTTCTGCCACAGCCCTGTCCTTTCCCCCTAGTTGTATGGCTTTTAAAATAGATGCTTCAAACGGTAACTTTCTCTTGGGGCTGGAGAGAGGCTCGAAGGGTAAGAGAAGTAGCTGCTTTTTCAGAGGAACCAGGCTTGATTCCCAGCACCTACATGGATGTCCACAACCACCTTTAACTCCAATTCCAAGGGGGATCCTATGCCCTTTCTGGCCTCCTCAGGCACAAGGCATGCATGTGGTGTATACACACACACATATACTCTCTCTCTCTCTCTCTCTCTCTCTCTCTCTCTCTCTCTCTCTCTCTCTC